CGCCCATATGGGATCCCGGGCGTGCAAGGCGAGGACCTTTAACCACTTGCGCCACCGCGCCGGGCCCCAAAAATAAATTTTTAAAAAAGAAAAGTAAGGGCCCAGTTGGTAGCCTAGTAGCAAAAGTCCTGGCCTTACACACACCGGGAAGTCCATATGGACTCTGGTTCAATCCCAGCTTCTCCACCTCCCATCCAACTCCCTGTTTGTGGTTTGGGAAAGCAGTCCAGGACAGCCCAAAGCCTTGGGACTCTGCACCTGCGTGGGAGACCTGGAGGAGCTCCTGGCTCCTGGCTTCAGATTGGTGTAACTCTGGCCATTGTGGTCGCTTGGGGAGTGAATCATCGATGGAAGATCTTCCTCTCTGTATATCTATCTGACTTTCCACTAAAAATAAATACATCTTTAAAAAAATAAAAACTTAAAATAAGTTTTAGATTTTCATGTTTAATTTTTTCAGCAAATGTTAAAGCAAGAAAACGGAATTTCCTGTACTTTTCTCTTTTCTATGTTGTTACAGGCTTCAAACAATATCTTCTTTAATTTGTACCTTGGAAACTTAAGTTTAGGGGCATAACTTTAGAACACAACCTACTACAAAATACTTTTTAAAAGCTACAGAAGAGCTAACCCATTTGAAAGTAAGATTTAGCTGAATCTCATGTTCTAAACCTGATATAAAATATGACAGGAAACATTCCTTTACTTACTCTTTTAAAAACAATTTTTTTTTTAATTTGAAAGGCAGAGCAACAGAGAGACAGAGTATGACCTTCCACGTGCTGCTGTCCCCAAATGTCTGATACAGCTCAGACTGTGCCACACAAAACTCCAGGAACTCCATCCTGGGCTTACATACAGGCTGCTGGCATTCAAAGACGTGGGCTAGCATCTGAGCTTTCCAAAGCACATTAGCAGGAAGCCAGACCAAAAGCAAAGCAACTAAGACTTAAACCAGTCTGGTAGTTAAGCTGCAGGTCAACTCCACTTCACAACAATGCCAGCCCCCTACCTATTTTTTTTAATCTTAGGAGGTTTATTCCAGTGGGGCAGGAACAGGGTGGAGGTGGTGGAGAGAAAAAAGGAGAAAGGGAAGGGAGGCCAGAAGGAGAAGAGAGAGCCCCCCTACCTATTTTAAAAATGCATTCTCAATTGATTTAAGTATCTTCAAGCTGTTAAAGGTCCTACTGAGAAAGGGTGGCCAAATGTTTATTATAAGATTAGTTTCACACATTTCTTCGGAAGCTTTCTTTTGCTGTTATTAGGAAGGAAAAATCCATCTAATATATACAAGAATAATCACTATTAGGAAAAAAGAATCAATCTTACATACAAGAATAATCATAAACTGGCTTGTACTGAAACATATAATCAAATATTTAAGTTATTCTTCTTTATGTTTTATTATTTAAAAGGCAGGGTTAGAAAAAGAAAGAGGGAGGAATGGAAGGAGGGAGGGAGGGAGAGACAAAAGAGAAGAGACAAAGATCTCCCAAATAAGTGGCAAGGCCCAAAGCTGAGCTGATCGAAAGGCAGCACTCAGCAGCCTCTTCTGGTCTTCCATGTGGGTTCAAGGGCCCAAGTACTTAGCCACCCTCCACTTCTTTCCCAAACTATAAGCAAGGAGCTGGATTGGAAATGGAGCAGCTTGGGACACAAACTAGCACTCATATGGGATGCCAGAAGCACAGACAGAAGTTTTGGGTCATCTTTCACTGCTTTCCCAGGCCGCAAGCAGGGCTGGATGAGAAGCAGAGCTGGTGAGACATGAACCAGAGCTCAAATGGGATCCCGGCATGTGCAAAAAAAGGTCTTTAGACACTAGGCTACTACTGCACCAGTCCCAGCTGCTGAACCTTTGATTCAGCTCTCTGCTAAGAAAGCAGTGGAGCATAGCCCAAGTTCTTGGGACCCTCAATCCATATACAAGACCCAACAGAGGCTCCTGGCTTCAGATCAGCTCAGCTCTAGCCATTGTGGCCATTTAGGGAGTAAACTGGCAAGTGGAAGATCTTTCTCTTTTTCCCCTTCTCTGTAAAATCTGACTTTAAAATAAAAATAAATCTTAAAAAAGAAAAACAGCTATATACTTTAAAATCTATGCAAGCAACCCACCTTAAAATGTACAAGCATGTACAACTCTGAGGAATTGCAGAAGAAAGAAGGAGTAACACTACTAAATGGTTTAGCACCGAGCTTGAAAGCTAAACATTTCCCCCCAAAAAAGTCTTCTCAGTTTCAGAGATATTACTTTACATATTTCTTTCCCACCACCACCAACAACAACAAAAGCAACCACCCAATACCTTTATAACATACTACAATTCAGCTTTACAGTGCCAGAATCATGGCATATCAGATAAAGCAACTGCCTGTGACACTGGTATGCCATATGAGCACCAGTTCATGCCCTGGCAGTTCTACTTCTGGTCCAGCTTCCTGCTGACGGTCTGTGAAAAGCAGCAGAAGAGGGTTCAAATGTTTGGATTCCTGCTACCTATATAGGAGACCAAGAGGAAGTTCCCGATGCCTGGCTTTGTTCTGACTGAGCCCTGGTTGTTGTGGCTGCTTGGGAGTGACCCAATTATTGGATGGAAGATCTCTTCATCTCTTATTCATACTCTAGAATGCTGACTTTCAAATAAGTAACTAAATCTTTAAATACAGATATAGATTTTAACAAAATTAACAATAAAAAAAAACATCCCTCATATATCCCACTAGTGTTTAAAGAAAATACTCTTGGGCCTGGTGCAATAGCTTAATTGGCTAATCCTCCACCTCCAAGTGCAGGAATCCATATGGGCTGCTCTACTTCCAATTGAGCTCCCTGTTTGCAGCACAGGAAAGAAGTGGAGAATGGCCCCTGGGACCCTATACCCAAGTGGGAGACCCAGAAGAAGATCCTGACTCCTGGCTTCAGATTGGGTCAGTCTCAACCATCATGGTCATCTCTCTGTAAATCTGCATTTCCAGTAAAAATAAGTAAACCTTTAAAAATAATAATCATATTGGGATAATCTCTAAACAAGTTCCAGAAAAGAAAAAAACACAATAGTGTTAGATCAGCAAAAGAAAAAAAAAATCAAATCTGTTAGATTCCAACAGTATTCAAGGCTTGAGTACCTGAGTGACTTATAGTCAAAATGTGACAAGATTTCAGGTACACAAGTGAAACACTGGATATTCTTTGGACATGAAATTTTTTGCTTTCTGATATTTTCTGGATATGTTCACACCTCAGATTCAGATTCATGCTAATGCTCCAAGGATAACACCAGAAGGCAGCTCAACTACTTTGGCCTCTGCCATCCATGTAGGAGATCAGTTTGAGTTCCAGACTCCTTGTTTTAGCTAAGTCCAGATCTCGCTGCTGCAGTAATTTGGGGAAAGAACCAGCAGATGGAAGATCTCTCTCTGTCTTTCCCTCCCTCTCTCCTTCCCTTTTCTATCTCTATCTCTCTATCTCTGTGTCTCTCTGTCGCACACTCACATATACCCATCTCTCCGTACCCTTTCAGAAAATTTAAAAGAAAAGAATCAAACTGAGAAGTAGTTGCAAACTTCAGGGAAAAGATGACACATTGAATCTTTAACAACAATCCATTAATTAAGATGGGTGTGGCGCAGTGACCTAGCAGCTAAAGTACTTATCTTGAATGTACCCAATCCCATATAGGTGCCAATTCTAATCCCGGCAGGCACTGGTTCTAACCCCAACTCCCAGTCCCAACTCTCACTGGCAGGTGATGAAACCTGAGCCTCCCATCCCTGGGGCATGTAAACTGGTAGGTATGACAGCTTAGCCCAGCAAGACCTGTGCTCCATCTTGGTTTCTGCACTTTCCAGTGAGCCAAAGTTTGCTCAGCCCTGCCTGGTCCGCCCCCTTCCGAAATAAACCCACACATCAGTCAACAGCTGGAGCTACATTGCCCAGCTTGCCTGACCCCCCAGGCCTGGACCATGTGATCACCAGTGGGAGCTATGACCCACTAGGGAAGTTTCCCACCTTCCCCCATCTGGCCCACTCCCAGACCCAGATCACATGCATCCCAGCAGATGTTAAGCCCTTGCCCAGCATAGCCTGCCCCTCCATCTTGGCCTTGTATGAGCTGGTGAATGTTGCAGTTCAGCCTGCCCCACAGCCTGTTTTTAGGATGCACATGCGGGTCCTGCAGCCTGAATCTGCCAGATTATTCTTGGTCCCTGTACCCATGAGTGATGGCAGGTTCCATGGTCACACCTAACTCAGCCCATCCCTAACCCAACTCTTGAGCTAACCAGCAGGACTTGTATTTCCATGGGATTGGGCCACATATCCCCCACAGAATCTACCCCCAGAACTGGTTCCCTCATGTGTGGTTAGTGTCATGGTCCTGCCTAATGTGACCTGTTCCAACATTCAGTCAGGTACTTGGATCTAGCCCTGCTAGACAGGTCCCCAGCCCTAGCTTTTGCATGGACTGGCATGTGGTACTCAGCAATACTCCATGATAACAAGCCCTACTCAGCACTCCTGCGTAGGCTGATGTACCAGTCTGACCCATAAAGATCTTTTGGCCTCTCCTCTCCAAACCACTAGGTCTCAGTCCCCTCGCTTACCTTCAAGTACAGTGACCCTGTTGTTGGGAGTCCCTCAGGATTCATTCCTCACCTACACGCATAGTGACCGTATCCATGGATGTCCCTAGGCAGTAATTCCACACCCTAAAGACTCCAGAGCACATCACTGGTCAGCCAGCAGGTGGAGTCCAGTGCCAGTTGGTGCACTGGCTGTCCAAAGCCCAGGACTTGCTCACTGCTTGGCAGTGGTGGCTGGAACTAGGGTCCCAAGTGTTGAGTCCCACCTGACTCAGGTATCCCCAGCAGCTGCCACATTGCTAAAAGCTCCCACGACCTCCATTATTCTTACAACACAAAATCTGTTACATAAAATCCATCTGAATGAGCTAATCTATAAGAGAAAACTGCTTACAGAGGGAAGTTAAAGTTGAATTTACCTGTCCATTTTTTCCTAATTCCAGCTCTATTATGGCGACAGGAGTGTGTATTTGACTTGAGTGCCTTGACTGAGACTTGCCATCAACTCTCCAGCTCAGGCCCCGAAGCCCATGATCCCAGCGGCTCTGGTTCATGAGGCTCTCTCTAATTTTTGTCTTGTGGCTCTTCCAGAACTTTGAAATGACACCAGCTTGTTCAGAAGTGATCCCACCTTGCTTTTTAGTTTGAGCAGTCAAGTATGCCTCCAGCTGGTTGAAATCCATGTCTGCAGATGCAATTGACTATGAAGATAACAGAAAAAGCAATTTCATTATGATTAAACTAGAAAATGATATATTTATGCCTACAGATCACATTTTGAATCTTCAACACTTTTAAAAAGGCTCATCAAGCAACAGTAATAAATACAAAACACTCCCCATGCAAATACCAAAAAAACAGAGAAGTTACTGCCAAAACCCCCATGTCAGCAGCAAGCATTTTGTCTATGTCCCGTGTCAGAGTGTCTGGGTTTGGTTACCAGCTCTGGCTCCCCAGCTCCAGGTGCTTGCTAACACAGACCATACAAAGCAACAATGATATTTCGAGTACTAGGGTTCCTGCCACCCATGTGGGAAGTCAGAGTCCTGGCTCCAGCTAGATTATTACGGGTAGTTAGGAAGTGAATCAACAGATGGAAATACTCTCTATTTCTATCTTTCATACAAAGTCATTGTCACTTGAATTCTTAACAACTAGACCCTAAGTTTTATGTATTCACTTTAATGGTGGGGAAATAAAATGAGATTTTTTAATAAGAATAAAATTAATTGATCCAATTGATCCTGTAAGGAAATCTTACATCATTTCATAGTGTCTCTGATTAGTTTTCATGACTACACAGACAAGTACACTTTTTAAAAAATACCTTCTCAGAGTCAGCATTGTGCCACAGTTTGTATGCCATTGTGGGTAGCAGTTCAAGATGCAACTGCCCCACTTCAGATTCAGCTCCCTACTAATGAGCCTGGAAGAGAAGTTGAACATGTCCCAAATGTTTGGGCTGCTTCCCCATGTAGGAGAGAGATGTGGACAAAGTTCTGGGTTCTTGACTTCAGCCTGGATCAATTCCACTGCTGCCAGCCATTTGCGGAGTGAACCAGCAGATGGAAGAGCTCTGACATTCAAAGAAATAAATAAATAGTTAAACACAAATCAATAAATAATTGTCTCCTCACTAGTTATACTTTAAGATTTATTGATTGATCTGAAAGAAGCAAAGAGAAAGAGAATGAATCTTATATTCACTGGTTTGCTCCCTAAATGCTCACAACAACCAGGGCTGGGCCAGGCCAAAGCCAGGCACATGGAACTCCATCCAATCTTCCACATGAGTGACAGGGGCCCAATCATTCATGTCATCATCTTATGTTTTCCCACTCACATTAGTAGGGTCTGGAATGAAACAGAGCAGCTGGGACTCAAACCAGCACCCATATAGCTCACCAGCATCATATGTGGCAGCTCAACCTGCTACGCCGTTAATGCTGGACTCATCACTACCTCAGCAGGAGAAAAATCCCACATAACTGGTACTTGTGTCACAGTGAATATAGAGATGCCATTTCCCAAGCAGCAGCTGCAAAGCTTTAATCATCAGTCTTTGGTGACTAATGAGACAACAAACAATGATATTAGAAGAACTGTCACAAACTTCATTAGGGCATGTCTGTTTGATCGAGGAATACACATCTAGAAACTTACAGGGTCAACTGGTTTAATGTAACAGTGAATAGCAAAAGAGATAAGACTGGGAAAGCAATTGGAGTCAGATTACAGAATATACCCTATAAGTAATAAGGAGGCACTAGAGGTTAGGCAACTGGAAAATCATTATATAAGAGCGGTGGTTTACAAAGTTAAATCTGACAACATCAAGTAGCTAGGCTGAGTGAGCAATTATCAGATGGTTATGACACGGAGTTTGGGAGAAGGCAGTGACAATTAATGATTTATTCTCAAGGTAGGCCTCCCCCGGCCTCTTCTTTGATATGCCCCTATTCTCTCCTGGTCAAGGAGGTTGGCATGAACTCAAAACCAGACAAATCACAGGACCCTCCTTTTTCTGGGCACACTGACTAATCCAAATTAATTTCCCAATTTAGAGCAGAAGAAGCAATTCTGCCTTTTAGGTTCAAGATAGCAGAAGCATATCAGCTGAGGTTATAGACAGCCATCTTCCTAACCATGTGCCAGAGACAAAAAGGGGTTTTAATTGGGTGATTTATTGGTTTTGGACCAGCCCAGCCAAATGGAGAGTGAACCAGTGAACGAAAGATAGCTCACTCTCCCCACAAACCTATCTATAATTCTGTCATGACTTTGCAATACTATACATGATGCCTTGCAGAAAAAATGGTTTATAATAACTTGAACCTAGAAATTGACTTTATAAAATATATACAAAAGTATTTTTGTAAAGTTTTAATAAACACCATATCCTCTAGGAATACAAGTAATATAATTTGTACTTTGGCTTAATTAGAACTTTACAAACAGGATACTGATCATTTGAGAAAATCTTATTGATCATTTTGGAAAATCAAGACAACACATATGCGTATAAGTGCATTTGCTGCCGTACCTTCCGTGGTTCTTCGTGTAGGTGCAAGCATTTGATTAATCCATTATACTTTTAAGGCAGTAAATTTGAATTTTTACACTTTAAATATATTTTAAATTATTATTTTCAGTTCTTTTTATACATTTACGTCACACCAATTTATTTATAAATTACAAAGGTGTATTTTATATATTAAATATAGTTAAAGTAATTTAGTAAAAACCTCATTCAAGGATGAGAAAAGGGCATTAAGAGACACTAGGCTAGAAATGCTTGAAAACACTAAGGATCAAGTTCAACTGTAACACGAAAACCCTGGCTTATGTTTAATGCGCTTTACCATTTCCTGCCTCCCATGCTTGAAGTTCAAATCCTACTAACCCGTTTGTGATTCCATACTAATTCCACATTAATAATTCTAACATGTCCACACTTCCTGTATGCCTTTGTTGAGGTAATTCTAACTGCCTAAAATGTCTTTTTATCACCACCTTTAGCAGGCCACTTCTACTTCATGAGTCAAGATTCGGTTCAAGTATGAATGAGGCCCCTCAAGGCTAACGAAGCTAACATTTTTTTAGCTGTTTAGGTAAGTGAAAACTCACTGGAAGTTTGATTCACTGATTACTAGCTTTCTGCAGAATCATAAAGACAGGAGCAAAACACTAGCACCTTGCAACTGGCTTTGATAGTGTTACTGGGAGAGGACAATGCACACACCATTGCAAACACCAGCTCTTGCAGATTTCCAGTCCTTAAACATGCTCAATTAATACTCTAAAGTATTAACAAGTACAAAGAGAAAATTAAGCAAGCATTTAAAGTAATTCTACAGATTCTCCAGCAGTTGACAAATGACTTCTGTTCTTCAGTGTAACTTCGCTGCATTGTACTGACTGTATGACTCTGTACTTCGTTTTTTACACTCATGACTTCAGCATTAAGTATTTGCACACTAGGTGTCATCATCACCTTCCTCTTATGTACATGCAATGTAACAACATATAGTTTTGATGCTTAACAATATTCCATTTTTTCTATAATAAAGGATATTTATTTGAATTTTAAAAGATTAGGTCCAAACATGGCTTCCCCAATTTTCCTCTCTCCTGCTAAGCCAAATACCCCCTCTCTCAAAGCTAAAATATCTTAAATATATGTATCCTTTATTACTACACCTAGTTCAAAGGAATGAAATGATTTGGTTAGAAATTGTTTTCACGGGCCCGGCGCGGTGGCGCAAGTGGTTAAAGGTCCTCGCCTTGAACGCCCGGGATCTCATATGGGCGCCGGTTCTAATCCCGGCAGCCCCGCTTCCCTTCCAGCTCCCTGCCTGTGGCCCGGGAAAGCAGTCGAGGACGGCCCAAAGCCTTGGGACCCTGCACCCGCGTGGGAGACCTGGAAGAGGCTCCTGGCTTCGGATCGGCATAGTATCGGCCCGTTGCGCTCACTTGGGGAGTGAATCATCGGACAGAAGATCTTCCTCTCTGTCTCTCCTCTCTGTATATCCGCCTTTCCAATAAAAAATAATAAAAATAAATCTTTAAAAAAAAAAAGAAATTGTTTTCACATAACAGACTCTCACCTTTGAGATCTGATTCCTTTTTTTTTTTTTTTTTGGAAAGGTGGATAGAGAGGAAGAGAGACAGAGAGAAAGATCTTGCATCCAATGGTTTACCCCCCAAGTGGCCGCAACGGCTGGAGCTGAGCCAATCCAAAGCCAGGAGCCTCTTCCGGGTCTCCCACATGGGTGCAAGGTCCCAAGGCCTTGGGCCGTCCTCGACTGCCTCCCCAGGCCACAAGCAGGGAACTGGATGGTAAGCAGGGCCGCCAGGATTAGAACCGGTGCCCATATGGGATCCTGATTTATTTGTTTGTCCAGAAGTATATACAACTAGCAACTTCTTGCTTACAAAATGTTCCCACATATATTCACAAAATGTAAACTCCTTTAAGAGTAGAAAATAATCCATGATGTCAATGCCTACTCTTACAAATTAGCAAGGAGCTCAGAACCTAAAGAAAATCAGGGCAAAGGAAGAATCTGAATGAAAAAATGTAATTTATCATATTAGTATTCTTAACAGAGAGTTGTTGCTGGAAAATAATCAGAGTGACTCCACGTGATGTGGCTGATGGTGAGAAGTCACTGCTCACCTGGTCACTACAGATCAACAATATGCTAAACATGCACTTAAATGAAATATAGCTAAAAATCGTTTAAATACTAAAGATTAAGTATTAAACATTAAATGTTAAAATTAACAGTTATCCATCTGAAACTGTTATTCCATATTAAAGTATAGGAGGAAACAAGAGAAAACAGATTATTGCATATGCAACTCCCACCAAAATCCTAGTACTGTGGTGCAGTGGATTAAGCCATTATTTCCAATGCCAGGATCCCACTTTGGAGTGCTATTTTAAGTACTGACTGCTCAACTTCTTATCCAGGTTCCTGCTACTGTGCTGGAGAATGCAGTAGAAAACTGTCCAAGTGTTTGAGCCCCTGCCATCCACGTGGAAGCCCCAGACGGAGTTTCTGACTCACTGCTTTGGCACGCCCCAACCTGGCTCTTATCTGCGGAGTGAATCAGAGGAGGGAAGATCTCACCCCTCTCTCTTTGCCTTTCAATTCAAATTAAAACAAACACATATTTTTTTTCTTTAAATGTTAAC